CTTTATGTGTGAGACCCCCCCTCCTTGGTGACCGAAAATACATTCTTTAACATTTTTATATTATACATTTTCTAAATACATTTTTAAATACTGCATTTAAAACACGTTTTTATTGATTTCAGAGAGGGAGAGAGAGATAGAAACAACGATGATGAGAGATAATCATTGATCAGCTGCCTCTTGCATGTCCCCTCCTGGGGAATCGAGCCTGCAACCTGGGCTTGTGCCCTGATGGGGAATGGCATGGTGACCTCCTGGAGTATAGGTCAACGCTTAACCACTGAGCAACACCAGCAGGGCTGAATCTACCACATTTAGATATTAGATTAACTTTCACAAAGCATGGAAGGACACCAATAAATTTAGAAGTAATTTAATGGAAGTTACTCCAGTTAAAGGTCAATTAGATATTAAAGTGAAAGCTTCTCACATTCCATAAAGCCTGTGAGCATTGGATACAGTTCACGTACGGGAATCCAGTCGTTCATCCAAAGGTTACTGTGATGCCGAGCGTCGCATTTGGGGATAATCCAGAAATATAAGGGGTCTTGAACGGAACCTTCTTGGACTTCTTGAGAGTGAAATAAATAAGAATGGAAACAGTAGATAAAATTGATATTTTGAGGAAGAAGCTAGCCTTTCTGAGTATGAGCCATAAGATAATTAAAATCACCAGGGTATAATTCTTATTACAGCTGTAGAGTTTATGGCCGGATAAGTGGTCCCTGTTCAACCACAGAAATTCTGGTAACTGGACAAGTTTGTTTTCCTCAGATGGGTCCCTCTTTCCCAGGAAAAGTGTTGAATAAACATCCTCAAAATCTTAATCATCTTAATTCTTTTGTGAAAGCCCTTCTCTCCATGTCCCTGTGAGTTCATTTCTCATTCTTTCTTGGAGTCACATACCAGTCATGCCTCCCTGGGACCGCACCCTGGTCACTGAACTTGTTCCCTTACACATTCCTGAACCACCTTCGGGATGGTTCCTGCAGCTAATGGCTGCTCTTAGTACTGGTGTCTCTCTCCTCCCCCCACAAAGGAAACTTCACTTTCAAGGTTGTCAGGTACATTGCTATCTAATGGACACGTTCCACGTCCCACCAAAATCAATCAGCGGTAATCCGGTAACCTGTAGCAGTGGCCACACTGAAGCTGCTGGTCTAGTCGTGTGCTTGCTGTGTCCATCCGCATCTTCACTGTGTCTCTGGCATCAAACTCCACGCACGTTTAATTGGATTGATATTAGTTGACCCACCACTGCATTTTAACTGAGTGACAGAAGAGACTGAAAGAGAGTGATCTGCGTGTAATATTGAGGCTTGGGCCAGTGAGGGGAGGAGCCTGCTTCCTGAGCAGGTGCTGCTCTGAGCAGCCACCACACCTCCCTGCTTGGCATGTCCCTCTCTACAGCGGGTAGGTGAGGAGAAGAGGGCAGAGGAACCGCATTAGCAGAGGCAGCGGAGGAGGTGTCTCCAGGGCAGAGGCCTGGCCCAGCCGAGGTAAGCTGGTCAAGTTGGGAGAGAGGCTTGGGCGGGGCTGAAGGGCCAGGTGGCAGGAGACCTCTGTGTTCTGCCTGGACCTGTTTGCATTGTGGAGCAAAGGGAGAGGTTGGCTTGGAGCACGGCTCGATGAGGTCACTCAGAGGGAGGATTAGTTTAGAATAATCGGAAAGGGTAAGAAACTGTAGACACTAAGAATGGAAGGGTGGTGCTTTCAGCAATGTAGGTATAAGTGGTTGATGACAGACCTCTGGGGCAGTGGACTTGAAGAATTCATACATTGTGAATCAACGAGCTTTGGCAATGGAGCACAGGATAAGTAAGGGACGTGTATTAGTATAGAAATAGTAAGGTCCTTAGTGCGAAGAGACTGCCCAGAGTGATGTGCTAGGTTGGATACATGTTGTTAGATACGGTAGTGCTTTGCCCAAAATGTTGTGCTTCCTCTTCCAGTTCCCTCCCCTTTGGTCTCCCCGACCTTGCTCAGAATCCTTCCGGACTCCAGCGGCCTCTGTCCCACAGCGTGCGCTGACCACTGCCCATCCTGAGCTCCTGTGGCCGTGCCTCTCAGCTGCACTGGCGCTGCTCGCGGTCGGGACGTCCCGCTCGCTTTCTTCTCGTGCCTCCTGACGGCCCAGAGATTCATGTGCTTGTGGCCATCCTCCTGCAGCTCTCTCCGCAGTGTTGAGAGTAACCCTGTGATTGATTATTACTTAAACTATTACCGTCCAGATAATAGTCAGCCATTGCCCTGAAAGAGGCAGCAAGGTAGTGGTGCAGGGGCCCTCTGCTCCCTCCCACCGGCTCTTATTGCACGGCTCTTATTCAACAACTGTACCGAGTTTCCTAAAGATCGTTACGTGTATTTTGACTTCTTGATGTCGTAAGTAGCCCCAGGTGAGATACAGCAGCCTGATGTCAGTGTGTAAGTACACCAGAGCCAGTGAGGAGGAAACTGTGCCCAGCACTCACCTCGTCACCTCTCGGGGTTCCTACAGAAGCACATTACAGTGCTCTCAGCTCCATCACTCAACATCTTCCAGGGCAAATGAAAATGGAATTCATTAGAAGAAAAGTACTATTTTCACTCTTTACTTTGCATCATCTTGCTTGAGAGCGTTGATGTGTGTTTAGGAGAAGAGTGACAGTGCTTTGGGGCGGTGCTTGCATTTTTCAGTGAGTGACTGTTCGTTCAGTAAGTGCTTCCCCTGGTTTGAGAGGAGGAAGGCATTTTGATGCAAAAAGAGTCTTCATTCTCCGTGTTCTCCTGTGCAGGTACATTTAAGTTGTCTGCATCAAGGATGTGTAATCAGCCTTTGTTTTTCTGTCTGTTTGTCGCTGGGTGGCTGGAGGGGCCTTCTCAGCCTCCCACTCCTCCTCTCCAGTTCTCACACCAGCTCCCACTGTGTCCTGCTGCTTCACACTGTTACTTTAAGGAATTCCTCTTTAGGTAGCACTTTCTAGTTGTTGTTGTTGTTTTTTTCTTTCTTTTCTTTTTAAACTCGCTTACAATTAGACTCTGGGAGCTGCAGCTTTTGGGATGAGTGCTCCTTTCTCTCCCTTTCCTTCCTGTACTGCCTCCTGTGGGGCCCAGAGGGGAGCAGGGTGTCCCTGTGAGCAGTTAGTGTACGTGGTGACAGGGCCAGAAGGTGAGCATTTCAGGGGGAGTGGGCCACAGGTATTTGTGGGTCTGCCCCAGGCCCAGCGGAAGGCAGCTGGGTGTTAGTTATGGGTGTTTGGGGCTCTGCAAGGGGGTAGGCGGGTTTAGGACTGTGACCTGCCCCCCAGGATGAAACCCTGGCCCATAAGAAAACTCATGACCCAGATTAGGACTCATGTCCTGGCTCTGTAAATTCTTTCAGTGTTTTTTGAAGAATCCATTGCCAAACAAATATCCACACATCCTAACTGTGGTGGTGTCTCAGAAAGAAAATATAAAATATTGGAATTAGAGATTAGGGGTCTCAATATTCGTGTGAATTGCATAGGTCTATTTTGCAGGTGGGAACGGCCATCCTGGGATCATTTCTGCTTTAAAAAAAAAAATTATTTTTTTTTTTTTTTTTTTTTTTTTTTTACAGAGAGGAAGGGAGAGGGATAGAGAGTCAGAAACATCAATGAGAGAGAAATATCAATGAGCTAGCTGCTTCCTGCACACCTCCCACTGGGGATGTGCCTGAAACCAAGGTACATGCCCTTGACCGGAATCGAACCCGGGACCTTTCAGTCTGAAGGCCGACGCCCGATCTACGAGCCAAACCCCGTCAGGGCTCTGCTTGTTTCACAGGTCCGTTTGGAGAAGAGCTCTGGGTTTTTCTCTTGGGTCTTGTACTAGCACAATCGTTCTCCATACATCTGTGGCCACGCTCCTGTTCACACCACATTCTGATGCTGTGGGTCACACCATCCTGTGGCCACACTCCTGTTCACACCACATTCTGATGCTGCGGTTCCCTGTGACTCAAAAGCCCCCCTCCCTTCCTGCGAACCATTGATCTGCAGTAAGACCAGGGCCCCAAAGATACATCGAGGTGATCAATAGTTGTAGTTTGGGAAAGTTTTTCGATAGTTGCCCTGTGAGTCCATCTGAGTTCAGTGACCAGCCGTTGAGGCTCCATCCATGGCCCTTTCTCCTAAATGCAGCCTGCCTCTTACCGGATGCGGCTGAGGCCTGCCATCACCTGTGTCTCCGAGGAGCTGGCACAGTGGGCTGGGCGTCTGGACAGCTGGTTTCTTAGTGTGCTGCGCGAGGCTGGACTCCTGGACCTCCTGGAAGGAGCTGGGGTGACGTGTAGTGAAAATGGACTGGATTAGGAGCTCCCCACCCACAGAGCGACCTTGTTTTTATTTATTTACTTTTATTTTTTCGCTTCAGTTTCCTAATGTGTCAGGAGAGGGCTCGAATCAGAATCCTGTGGCTCTCCGGTCCCTTCCTGTCCCAGCTGTGCACCGCTGGGGGTTGGAGGTGGCTGCGGGAGGCTTCTGCAGTCCCACCTCCCCATTTGTCTTCCCCGGAATCTAGGTTATTCGGTTTTTAGGGCTGCTTCAGTGAAATATGCCTGAGAAGCATAATCATGCCCAGTGCAGTGTAAATATTCACACATTCCGGCACACCGCCCCCCTCCCAGAGACAGGAGCCTGTCTGCAGAGGAAGCACCGTGGTCGTTGGTTGCCTGGGTTTTTCCTGCAGCGCTTGCCACTGCCAGCTGAAGAGGCTCCTGGAGTAGTTGCCATGCTGTCACAGGGATGAACGAGGAGCCCGGCACCTCGGGGAGACTCCTGCTACGTGACTCGCCTGCCCTCCCCCCTCAGTCCTGAACCTGCTCGGTTAATGATTGCACCTGATTATGTATCTTTGGGCTTTTCGCCGGTTACCGTTCAGATGCTCCTTGGAGCCGATTGTTTGCTTTTGTGTGCCGTAAATCCTGGCTGCCTTCTGAAGCACAACTTGATGATTGTGTCTTATCATCTCGGGTTAAGTGCTGTCTCATTGCTTTGCAGGCCGCCTGCTGTTTCCCGGGGAGATCATGAAACGAGGTCGCCTTCCCAGCAGCAGTGAGGATTCTGACGACAATGGCAGTGAGTCCTGCTCTGTTGTTCTCGGAGCCCACCAGGGTTTGGGGCAGAAACATGGGTGTTTTTTTTTTGTTTTTTTTAATGGAATGCTTTAAAAATAGCCGAGGCCCTGGGCCTCCCAGGCAGGTCTTGCCTGTCGGGCAGGGCGCCGAACGCCCAGGCCTGGCCAAGCACCTGGCGTGATGCTGCAGGCCTGTAGCCACAGCTCCCCGGTGACGTGGCTGCGCGGGCGCTCCTCAGGCTCCTGTCTGCCACCCCAGGACGAGGAAGCCAGTTCCAGGAGTCACTGGCCTGTGTGCTCCTCCTGAACATCACTGACGGCACTTCGGCCCTTTAGGAGAAGGGAACCTAACCGAAGCCAGTTAATTATTAATGAGCTCAACCCGATAGGGAGGGAGACTGAGGCCTGCCCGGCGGGGTGTGACGTGCTCAGTGCGGGTCCGCAGAGGGGGCGAGTGGGGGCCCCTCCCCAGAGTGACTGGCTATGTGATGCGGCTGCCGCTGCACCGCAGCCCGCTGGCAGCCTCGTGTTTTCACAGTGCAGCTGAGAACCAGAAGTTAGTTGGCTTCCAGGCAGCCAAAATAAATGCCACACCGCGTCTGTGTGCTGAGCAGCTAGCAGGCTGCTGCGGAGCGCCCCTCAGATGCCGAGGGGTTTTGTCCCTAGCACCGGGCCTGAGCTCCAGCCCGCCGGCAGGTGTTCTGCCTTAGAGGAACCCAGAGAGAGCACTTGCTTTCCTGTGTGAGGGCAGAGGCATGGGGCCAGCGTGCTGAGTCAGGGGTACATAGACTCTAGCTCTGATAGGCAGATGGCATCTTGGGCCGTGGCAGAGATATCACTGGTGCCCTCTGCAAACGGTGAACGCAGGCACAGTTCACAGGAGTGGGGGGCCAAGGGGCCCGGGGACGAGATGGGGGTTGGGAGGGCAGGGGCCCGGGGAGGAGATGGAGGTTGGGAGGGCAGGAGCCCGGGAAGGTGATTGAGGTTGGGGGACCAAGGGGACATGGGGAGGAGATGGAGGTTGGGAGGGCAAGGGGACATGGGGAGGTGATTGAGGTTGGGGGACCAAGGGGACATGGGGAGGAGATGGAGGTTGGGAGGGCAGGGGCCCGGGAAGGTGATTGAGGTTGGGGGACCAAGGGGACATGGGGAGGAGATGGAGGTTGGGGGGCAAAGGGGACATGGGGAGGAGATGGAGGTTGCTGGGGGGGCAGGGGCCCAGGGAGGAGATGGAGGTAGAACGATGGAATAATTTTTAGGCGAACAGGATCGTTTTGGTTTTCTGTCTCCCAGTTTTCCGTAGATTAAAAGCTGCATGTTAGAAAGCAGGGCTTTGCCGCCAGGGGTCTGCACTGATAGCCACAGGGAACGTGGAGGGAGGGGCCGAGGAACATACAAACGTCTTACACACCCGATCTGGTTGGCACTCTGGTCCTGGCGTGGGGCAGTGGGAAGCAGGTTGGCGGCTGCGGGCGGGGGCCCTAGTTTGGGGGCACGGGTAAGTTTAGCCGTGACCAGATCAGGGAGCAGCTGAGGGATTGGCACTTGGGGGAACGCTGCTGTCTGGCTCAGGGAGGAGTGAGTGTGAAGGAAGGAAAAACCAGGAGGCGGGCTCCAGAGAGAGGGCTTTCCTTCATTTCGGGGAGAGCTCCTGAGGGCCTGAGCCCGGGCGCAGGCGGTGAGCCACCTGTCCGGCCCGCACGGTGCCTTCTGAGCTATCCAGCCCGCACTGCCTGTGTGATGTTTGCTTGGCTCTTTGCTCCTTGAGGCAGGAACATGCTTAGGTAATTTTGTCTGCTTCCCGTGGTGCCCATCAAAGGGTCCTCGGAACTTACCAGAGCTCAGTAAATGCTGGTGGAGGACACGCATCAGTCCTGCAGCAGTTTTAAAAATCTGCTTTTTGGTTAGTTAATCAGAGGAAGGCTTTACGAGCAGCCTCCAACCAGCCGTGCAGGTGGAAGGCTGAGCACTGTGTCCATTCCTGTGGGCAGCAGGTTCCTGCTCGCTCCGTCCCCGTCACCGCCTCCGCTCCCCCCAGGACAGCCCGGCTCGCAGAGGTTCTGGAATGTTCCCCCAGAACTAGACCCTCCCCTCTCGGGACTCCAGCTGCCCAATTGGATGGAAATGTCCTAATCCAGTGTAACTCGGGAAGTTCATTTTAAAATTTTATGTAATTTCAATTAATTTCAATTTGAAAAGCCTTGTGTGTCTGGCGATGACCGTATCGGACAGTGCAGCCCTGGGCGGGGACCCTCTGCTCCGCAGTAACCACAGCTCAGGCTGGGCTTGAACAACAGAGGCTTATTTTCTCACGGTCCTGGAGGCCAGAAATCCAAGGTCAAGGTGTGGACAGGTTGACTTTCTCTCCGAGGCCGCTCCTGGGCGTGCAGGCGCCTGCCGCCTCGCGTGTCCTCACATGGCCCTCTGTGTGCGGGCGCCCCCGTGTCCGTGTGCCCCCGTGTTCTCTTCTCAAAAGGACACCAGCGAGCTTGGGCCAGGGGCACCCGTAGACCTCATTTCACTTAGTCACCCCGTTAAGGCCCCGTCTCCAAATACATCCCATTCTGAGGGAATGCCGGGGACCCGGTTCAGCCCATAACTGTGGCCACAGAAAACCGCATCCTTCATCTAAACATGCAGCCCTCCCCGCTCCCAAACTCCAGTTAAACACGAAGGAGGCGGCGGCCGAGGCCCCACTGACAGTGTGTCCATCAGAAGTCACCTTTCTGGGGACGGGCTACTTTCCTCCTCCTCCTGATGCGCTCATAGCCATGTGGGGGGCAGATGGTTCAGGTCGGAGTTCAGAGGGTCCTGGGGGTTCACCAGAGACACGAGCAAGCTGGAGACACCGCAGCGCTTGCTCGAGCCAAGAGTCGGGCTGGACGGGACTAGACGTGGGCAGGACAGTGGCTGCTGGGAGGTGGTGGCAGGTCTTCGTAGTTGGTGTAGAGCAGGCGTTGATGCCTCACAGCCGTGCTGTCCATCCAGGCCTCGTGTAGGGCAGTTACGGTGCCTGAGGGCAGTGGTGAGAACCCTGGCATGCCCAGCCTTAGGAAACAGGCATGCCACCCACGGAACCACCCCTTTCCAACTTCTCCGAGGGCCGTGGGCGGCAAACGGGGGCTCGAGAGCCGAAGTTTGCCGCTCTGTTGACTAATGAGTTTGCTGACGACTGGGATAGGGGCTTCATCACAAGGAACAACAACAGCCTGCAATTACTGGAATCGAGAGTCTAGGTCAGTGGTCGGCAAACTCATCAGTCAACAGAGCGGCAAACCTCGGCTCTCGAGCCGCATGTGGCTCTCGAGCCCCCGTTTGCCGCCCACTGCCCTGTGCACCAGAGCTGCCTGCCCTGGGGCCGCCCGTCCTTTTGTGCAGTGAGGTGCCTTCTGCCACTGCAGCCAGGACCCCAGGCCCGCGCCGGCCCCAGCGGATCTGGGCGCTTGGAAGAAGGGCTGCTTGCAAGGAGGGCTGGGCCTGCAGTGGCCGCTCTCCAGCCTGCAGCCCTGACGGTTCTGGCAGCAGCGCCTGCCCAGTGCAGAGCGTGTCCAAGTGGAGGAGAGGGAGCCGCTGACGTCGGCGGGGGGCCGCAGCGCCAGCCGCAGCCACACCTCGCTGCTGGCCTCGGGCGGGAGCGGGTCAGGGAGCAGCAGAGTGGTATTCACCGCGGGGAGTGGACTGGCATGCTCCGTGCCAGTGCGGGCCTCCCTCCAGCTGCCGGAGCCGCTCCGGGTGCCCCGCGGGGCCAGCCCTGCTCTTGGCCGGAGCGGCGTTGCGGTGTTCTCAGGCTGCGCCTGTAATTGCTGGGCTCCCGGGACCGGGTGGCCCTGCCAGCCTCTGAAGCTGTGCTCGGTGCCAGAGGGTGGCCAGGGAAAATGGGCCCTTCCTTTCCCACTCTCCTGCCTGGGATCCTCAGCCCTGAGGGGTTTCTGCCAACGTGCAAATGGGATCCACCAGCTAGTTTCAGCATTTCCAGAACCTGAAAGCGATCTCCTTTGATCGGTAATAAAGCTGCAGAGGCTCATTAAGACATCGTGTTCTGGCTTTGGCAGGAATCAGGTGTTGCTGATTATCTCAGGCCAGTTAACAGCTCTGATCAGCATCCTCATATTTTTTTTTTTTTCATGTAAAAGTAAGACAAGAATTAAATAGTAGAACATAAAGAGGACTGTTCATTTGGCCAATTTTATTTTCATTTTTTAAATATATTTTATTGATTTTTTACAGAGAGGAAGAGAGAGGGATAGAGAGTTAGATACATCAATGCGAGAGAATCATCAATCAGCTGCCTCTTGCACACCCCCCACTGGGGATGTGCCCGCAACCAAGGTACAGGCCCTTGACCGGAATCGAACCTGGGACCTTTCAGTCTGCAGGCCGACGCTCTGTCCACTGAGCCAAACCGGTTTTGGCCATTTTGGCCAGGAGAAGGGAGCCAAGTGGTGTTTTTTTTTTTTGTTTGTTTGTTTGTTTTTGTTTTGTTTTTTTTGTGTGTGTGTATGTGTGTGTGTGTGTTTTGGTTGTTTTAAAATGTGTCTCTCTCTCAGAGACCCAGAGGGAAATGAAATTGGTTCTTTTATTTTCCACGAAGAGAGAAGAAGTGTGCTGATAGGTCAGAGTTTTTCCTAAAATTGTGAAGCGAGGCTTCCTTTTTCTGTCTGACGTCCTCCGTCTCAGGGCTGGGTCCACCTCCCCACGGAACGCCCGGCGTGGCTGGGGTCTGGAGCCAGGCACCGCCCAGGGTCCACACCTGTGCCGCTGGGACACACTCCTGTCCGGTCAGTCCTGCCCTGAGCTCGGCTCCCCCCCAGGGTCCACACCTGTGCCGCTGGGACACACTCGTGTCCGGTCAGTCCTGCCGCTGAGCTCGGCTCCCCCTCCTGTCACAGGAATGGGCAAAGACTGCTGAGTCAGACTCACACCGACCAGCTGCCGCTGGTGATGCAGGCCGATGGCTGGCAAGCATGACGCCGGGTGGGGGTGTCCTCCTGGGCTCCCTCCA